TCACCTCACGGGTAGGATCTTCAATACTTCTGCCCTGCCTTCTCAAACATTCGTCAGCAACATCAACAGCTTTATTAAGCCGAATCCAATATTCCATTGCATTCTCTCCTGCTACAGGTAAAGTGCAATAAAAGTCAGCAAGTGGCATAGATGAATATGTCAGTTCGCTGAAGTGTTGCTTGAGTATGTCTGTGACAATTCTTGGGTTTGTTTCAGGCTTCAGCGATGGATTGCTGCGTAGTGCTATCTTGATCACATCTTTGGCTCTTCCCATTAAATTCGACATGATCTCATCCGCCTGTTCAGCTAAAGGAACACCTTTCTTCCTCAAATAAACATCCATGAGTTCTTCCCATTCGTGTATTGACAATTTGTCAGATCCATCCCCTCTGAAACAGGGAGGTGCCTTAACATCAGGCTTCATTACTAACTTCATGCCAGTGAAATTAAGAGAAGGTGACTCCATGTGAACCTGGCTCGTCCCCATGCTCTGCGTTTGAATATCAGGGCACTCATTTTTTTCACTGCTTTTTTTCAGCTGATCAGATATTGACTGCCCTATTTGTTGAGCAAGCTGTGTGATCAAACTACTCAAGTCAGCATTACTGTGGTCTCGGCTGTCTGAAGCAGCACCTTCACACTTCTCTGATTCAGTAGTATGCACTCTACCGGGATTACGGGTAGAACAGAAATCAGGAGAGCCAATATTAACTGTCCTTCTGAGTGGTGTCTGTTCAAGTTCACCAAATATACGGCCCCTAGCAAAACCCAATTCAAACCCATCATTAGGAGAGTAACTTGTCTTCTCACTATTTTGTGACATCATGAGTTTTACAAATCAACAAAAATAAATTAAAACAGATAATGACCACAGAAAAAAAACTGTTCACATGTGTACACTACACACCTAAGAGTAATACACAATCAAATAATCAAACAAAAATGTCAAATTCAATCTTTTCTTTGTCTCTCTTTTTTTTCTGTAAATATGAAGTTTCAACCTTTTTTTGATACAGTCTAATGTCCAACCTGTCTTTCCTTTGGCACAGATACAGGCAGATTTGGACGTTCCAGAATGCAGCAAACCCCGGCGACCAAGCTGATGTTGATCAAAGGGGATCCACGATGACTTGCATCAAATAAAAGTCACGGCACCAATGTGACCGGTCTTCGTTTAGCTCTGCGTTGTGTTTGTGGATGAACGAGACCGGGCAACAGAAAGTACTCCAGACAGATTTTATTCTGCATGAATAAAAAGAAATATCACATCAAAAGCGAGTCTGTGGCCTTCTCTCGCGATTCAGCCTCTCTTCAGTCGCATTTACCGCGAACTGCAGGACATTTTACACTTTTATAAACATGCATTTCAGTTTCTCATATAATCAAATCTTGTTGGTTCAAAAGATTTCACAAAAAAATAAAAGCATTTTACATAAATTCAAAACAATATTAACATAAACATGAAAGAGAACATACCTGCATGAATAAAAAGAAATATCACATCAAAAGCGAGTCTGTGGCCTTCTCTCGCGATTCAGCCTGTTAGTGAAAGGCATTATTTTAGCCAACAGAGCTTGCACACTCATGCTTAATGAATTCTCCCCGAAAATACATGTTATGACTCATCACGTTATTAACACAAACTCCATACATGTTTGAATAAGATTAAAGTGCATTTTAGAACAAAATTACATGTTGTATTACAATAAACAAAACTCATATCAAACTTTTTAGACGGAGCGTCAGTACAACCCACCTCTCTTCAGTCGCATTTACCGCGAACTGAAAGAGAGCAACCGGAACCGGAACATGAGTCTTAAAGGAGCCACGCACCGCATTTAACAATACTACAAAATGACCATGTAACCATAGAAATATGACATCTCAATTAAATAGAAATCAATATTAGAAGAATAAATGAAATTCCAAAATACAAAATAATGAAAGAAATATAACAAATGATAATAAGAAAGGGAGATTTTGAGTGAAATTATTAAATAAATATTTTACACCCGTTACATGGGCAAAGGGAAATAGTGATGGAGAATTCGACTCAGTGCCGAGAATCGGTTCTTTCGAGCGTTCGTTTCAATGAACCGATTCAAAAAACAGTTCCGCGTAAAAAAAAACCTTCAAAGTATCGAGGAAAAGAATGCTCTTCATGTGACATAGAGTAGACGATCTTTTTTGTAAATGGGTTTGTCAAAACTTTTCTTTTCTTTTTTTAGAAAAAAATTCTGAATATTAATAACTAGGCTATTATTTAGCCTGTAGATAGGCTACAACACAAACTCTTGGATTCAGTATTTGGTCAAAAACTACTCTGAATGTTTAACCTCGTACATGCCTGTTCTATAGGCTACTGTAGGTTTAATTTCATGTAGGGCCTAGGCAATGGAAAAAAAGGGAACAATAGCTTGTTCCAATAAACCTACACGTTGGAAAAAAATAATTATTAATATTAATTTATCATTTATTAATTATACACTAAAATGATTAATAAAAATATTTTTACACGTTACAATAAAGCCATGAGTAGACACGTTATTTATTTATTTAATCTATTAAGTTCTTATGTAAAAGGGGCGTTTCCTCTGAGGAGGCAAGGTTGGCAGTGGCTCCTTAAAGGGATACTCCACCAGTTTTTATTATTAAACTATGTTATTCCCTTAACTAAGACGAGTTGATACATACCTCTCTCGTCTCAGTGCGTGCACTATATCGCTCTGTATTGCCGCAAAACTATGTTAGCACTTAGCTTAGCCCATGCATTAAATATGGGCCAAGCAGAGAAGCGACCAAACACTTCCACGTTTTCCCTATGTAAACACAGTTACTCGAGTAGTGTAACTTGACCTGGGCTGGTGACACAAAATAAACCGTTGCGCTTTTCTAAGCGTTTAAAATTGATGACTATATTGTATGGCGGAATACCATAACAATTGCTTTTGAGCACTTCGACTTGGCGCAATAATATCTTCACTCGTGAAAAGTCCTCTTACCGGCTCCCGCTTCCTCTCCCCCTCCCTCTGACATTTCCGTCAATACAACGTGACATGCGCCGGTAGTAGTTCGAGCGGAGTTGACGAAGTAACAGGTTGTTGGAAGCTAGTTTGTGTACAATAATGGTTAAAGCGTGCATCGTAAAGGGTTGTGAAAATAAGGAGAATGTACATAGTGCTGTCATTTTTCACCGAATTCCAACACACCACATACAGCGGAGAGCTTGGTTAGCTGCTTTGAACAAGAATCCCAAAACACCATTGATGACTCTGAAGAAGTGGCGTGTTTGCTCCGAACATTTCACAAAGAAGGACTATACCTGCACAGGAACACGCCTAAAGGATGAGGCTACACCAACAATATTCAGATCACTTACAGAAAGCCCGTGGTCTTTCGCCAGCTCCGGTCTGTTCTGGATCATATCTTTCTTGCCTCTCACGGTCCACAAGAGCTAATTCCTCCACCGTGTACTCGGGTTCAAACAGATATGGCTCTGGGTCTTCTAAAAGAAGTCATAATCATCTACAAAGTCGGCCATTGCAAATGATCTGCAGTTTGCTAATAGCACAGGTAGTAAAAGTCACGTTGGTAGTATTGACGGAAATGTCAGCAGCTGGATGCTATTGGAGGGAGGGGGAGAGGAAGCGGGAGCCGGTAATCTTTTCACGAGTGAAGATATTATTGCGCCAAGTCGAAGTGCTCAAAAGCACTTGTTATGGTATTCCGCCATACAATATAGTCATCAATTTTAAACGCTTAGAAAAGCGCAACGGTTTATTTTGTGTCACCAGCCCAGGTCAAGTTACACTACTCGAGTAACTGTGTTTACATAGGGAAAACGTGGAAGTGTTTGGTCGCTTCTCTGCTTGGCCCATATTTAATGCATGGGCTAAGCTAAGTGCTAACATAGTTTTGCGGCAATACAGAGCGATATAGTGCACGCACTGAGACGAGAGAGGTATGTATCAACTCGTCTTAGTTAAGGGAATAACATAGTTTAATAAGAAAAACTGGTGGAGTATCCCTTTAAAAAATAGGAGAAAACAAAACAACATAAATATTACAAAATGTTAGATGGATACAAAAAGTAACACTGTCCAAAAGCGAAGTCTCTCTTGCCTCCTCTGAGCCCATTGATTTATAACCCTATTTTTTACAGTCTATGTTTATAACACACTTTAATGTGTGCGGTGGGTTTAGTGGGGGGTAATTGAGAATGAACGAGGGAAGGTCACGTGAGAATACATTTATTTTAGAATAAATGTAAAAATGCTTAAAACACAATTGATGGAATTTAAAATTGGTTTTAATAAATAGAACATTAATTACATTGTATGTACATGTTTATATTATGTTCAGTGTATATTGCATTTTTATTTAACCAGGAAACCGTGATATCATTAAGTGTGACAAGGACATGAATTTACATTTGAATTATTTAAAATATAGCCTATATAGGCCTAGGCTAATATAGAGTAATATTATTCAGAGATGGTAACAGATGTTTTATAGCCTACTTGTTCTACAATTGGGTGCTACACAAACGTTCAACCTCTGTAGCACCAGTAGGCTATTTGCAAAAAAGGTTAACCTACGATTCTGATTCGGTGAGTTATTAACCCGGATCGGACAAAGAACATAGAACCTCTTCAAAGAACCTCTTCATAACGGTCTAAAAGTGAAATGGGGGGGAAAAAAAGCTAATTAAATTTTGAATGATTCTTTGATCCGAAATCTAAAAGGAAGTTTCTGATTCATGAGTCAGCGAGTTGTTTGACTCGAAAACCGATAGGACAGACCCCGTTCGATTTGTGAGCGAACCGGTTCATCAAAATCACTGAAAAGATTCGGTTCAAGAGAACGTTCATGAATTGGACATCACTGAAAAGAAACAGAAAGGGAGGGAGCAGCTGCTGACACGAGAGAGAGAGAGAGAGAGAGAGAGAGAGAGAGAGAGAGAGAGAGAGAGAGAGAGAGAGAGAGAGAGAGAGAGAGAGAGAGAGAGAGAGAGAGAGAGCGATGAACAAGGAATGTGCCACTAATAAGAAACCGGAGCGTCGTTGAGGACGCAAGAGAGGAGGGCAAAAGAAGGAACGGCTGAAGAAAAACGACCAGAAATGCGTTAAAAAGTATCGAAGGGGGGACAAAAGGGGCAATACACAGCCAACACGTGAATGGAAGGATTATAATCCACCGTTGGAGGGATTTTGACGCTCCCCATGAGGAGATTTGAACCATGCATGGACTGCTGCTGCTTCTGAGTTTGGCGTTGAGTTTCCACAGAGGTAAGAGACTCGGCTTAATGAACCGCGAGCTGAAAGTTGTGAGTGTGTGAGAGTATATGAGAGAGAAATGGGAGAACGGGGGGGAGATGTTGCACTGTGGATCTTATAGCGTTCGTGTCCGTCCGGTCATCAAGGTGCAACGTGACCTTTGCGTTCCACGCGCAAAGTTAACGGTGATGTCGTTCGTTCGTTCGATCCCTCTATGACGTGATGACTGAAAACTCTGCCAGTGCGGAAGACTGAAGAACGGCGGTCGCTCCCGTCAAACATGTTCTCGTCATGAGAATACAAAGTAGACGAGAGGTTTGAGGACGCGCGCACATGCACACGCACACGCGCACGCACGCAGGGGTTCTTTGACAGACTCCCGCATAAAGAAACGCACCACTTCGTTGTCTTTCCTCGGGCTCCTGTAGGTAATTCAGCACCTGCGCATCATGTCTGACACTCACAGTCAAGTACGTTTCATCTCAGAATTTTCCCTGCATATCGCATGGCCAATTAATGTTTTGCATTGTGCAAATCCAGGTGCGCCTGAATTAATGTATCCAGCGAGTTGCTAGGCGACAGCACAGAGCTCTACCTGTTAGATTACAGCATCTTTTCCCGTGATCGCGCCTATGCGGACACCCTCCCTATTGTCACACACTGTGCATGTGTGCGTGTGTGTGTGAGAGAGAGAGCAGGTACACACTCCATCATAGGTGAGGGGCGTGTTTTTGTCCCAGGAAGGTAACGAATGATGTAACCCATGCTCATAAGGTCCAGAATCAAAGCAAAAATATGCATATTCATCGAGAAATACCTTTTGAAAACAGGCTCAGGTGCTTTGAACGTCAGCATGCGACAAGATCTGCGGAGATTTGTCTTCCAGGGATACAGACATGGCTTTGTTCTGCATCACACAACGTTTAAAGCCATTATAAAATGCAGCAGAATGCAGAATGACTCACTAGAATGAATGAAAGGTACAATGTGCATTACAGGTAGCAACGCATTAAAGGGATAGTTCACACACTAACATGAAAATTTGGTCATTTTGTCATCAACCTCAGTGTTGTTCCAGATCTGTATAACTTCGTTTTGTCTGTGGAAAAACAAAAGGCAGAATTTTACACGCATTTAAAATGAGTAAATGAACAAATTTTCAAGTTGACCGCATTGGTTTTGTTGGAACAACTGTACAGTAACGCACACTCGCTGATGTCATTTGTAATGATTTATTGCTATTATGTCTTAAGGTGGAATGTATTACAATTAAGCTAGGGCCTATCGGTGCTTATAAATGATACTCCTATCGGTGCTTATAAATGATACTCGGGTCAGACGCCTCAGCTCATAAAGCAACATGACTTTGCATGTAAATTGGCCCTTCAGATTCCTCTTTTAAACTGTAATGACTTTTCTAAGGTTAGCAGAGACAATAGTGATGACCTCACAACAATACAGCCATTGTCCTTCTAATAACTGTTCAATGATACTGTACGCAGTGTAGTAATATAGGTCAAGATTAAGCACACATTGTGAAGCATAGTAACCTGCTGAATAGACTGAAGTGAGTACGACTCCATCTGCACTTACTGTAACGGTGCACTCGATTTTCGTAATGCATTAGAAATTAGACCAAGTTGCAGATTCTGTCCTGGTAATATGTGGATAATTCAATTTTTTGTTCCCCTAGCAGTGTATTTTTTCTCTGTGGTTTGTCAGGGATTCTTAAACATGTCAGGTGTTGTTACATTTGTGCATTGCGCACTCGTGTATAATGAAGAGGTCTATAATTTGTACAGTGAAAAGCCGTTGTAATGTGAGTTTAAGCATCAGGCCCACTCCATCATAGCAGCCAGGAGTCTTTCAGAAGCAATACCTCAAATAAAACATGCAGCAGTCCCATGAATCACTCTGTGGCATGTCCTGTAACTTAACCTTTTACAAACAAAGAACTTTTTTATCTACATCATACTTTGATATTGTGTTTTTACTATGCAGGATTCCGATTCATACAAAATTGTCTCTAGAATATATCAAATCTTTGTCTTTAAAGAATCCTTATGCACCACAGCATCGTATCAACAAGGTGATCAAGTGCATTTGTGCAGTGTCAGCATGATTTCCTGTTGTATCGGTATTTCTTATGGTTAAAGTGCCCCTGTTATGCTTTTTTTTATATTATCTTTCATGCATATATGTGTAATATAGCTGTTTGTGAATGTAAAAAGTCTTCAAAATTTGAATTATAATAAAGTTGTTGTCTCCTAAAAGAAAGAATGGATTCTGAACTGCTGAAACGAGTCATTAGCAATTCCAGTCTCACTTCCGGTTACAAGCCTACATAACTAAGAAAAAAATTGCATAATACCCATGAGCAATGTCTACTTTTCCCTGCCCTCAAAGACAGCTAGTTGTAGCTGAGACTGGAAGAGTTTAGTTCGTGTCGTTCATATCGAGAATACGCAGTTTTCAGTGCTGTGAATCCACTTTGATGCACTTCAAAATGAAGACTCGGATTGATATGGAAAAACTGACTCCATCGTTACTGTTCGTAACGATAAGATCCGGAGCTGAAGTTCAGATATGGTTATGGGCATTTCGCTTCCAACACACGCGCTGTAAGCGGTAGACCAATCATCACAGACTGGGCCATCTGACCAATCAGAGCAGAGTAGACCAATCACAACAGACTGGACCATCTGACCAATCAGAGCAGAGTAGACCAATCACAACAGACTGGGCCATCTGACCAATCAGAGCAGAGTAGACCAATCACAACAGACTGGACCATCTGACCAATCAGAGCAGAGTAGACCAATCACAACAGACTGGGCCATCTGACCAATCAGAGCAGAGTAGACCAATCACAACAGACTGGACCATCTGACCAATCAGAGCAGAGTAGACCAATCACAACAGACTGGACCATCTGACCAATCAGAGCAGAGTAGACCAATCACAACAGACTGGGCCATCTGACCAATCAGAGCAGAGTAGACCAATCACAACAGACTGGGGCGTCTGACCAATCAGAGCAGAGTAGACCAATCACAACAGACTGGGCCATCTGACCAATCAGAGGAGAGTAGACCAATCACAACAGACTGGGGCGTCTGACCAATCAGAGCAAAGTAGACCAATCACAACAGACTGGGGCGTCTGACCAATCAGAGCAGAGTAGACCAATCACAACAGACTGGGGCGTCTGACCAATCAGAGCAGAGTAGACCAATCACAACAGACTGGGCCATCTGACCAATCAGAGCAGAGTAGACCAATCACAACAGACTGGGGCGTCTGACCAATCAGAGCAGAGTAGACCAATCACAACAGACTGGGCCATCTGACCAATCAGAGCAGAGTAGACCAATCACAACAGACTGGGCCAACTGACCAATCAGAGCAGAGTAGACCAATCACACAACAGACTGGGCCATCTGACCAATCAGAGCAGAGTAGACCAATCACAACAGACTGGGGCGTCTGACCAATCAGAGCAGAGTAGACCAATCACACAACAGACTGGGCCAACTGACCAATCAGAGCAGAGTAGACCAATCACACAACAGACTGGGCCAACTGACCAATCAGAGCAGAGTAGACCAATCACAACAGACTGGGCCATCTGACCAATCAGAGCAGAGTAGACCAATCACAACAGACTGGGGCGTCTGACCAATCAGAGCAGAGTAGACCAATCACAACAGACTGGGCCATCTGACCAATCAGAGCAGAGTAGACCAATCACAACAGACTGGGCCAACTGACCAATCAGAGCAGAGTAGACCAATCACACAACAGACTGGGCCATCTGACCAATCAGAGCAGAGTAGACCAATCACAACAGACTGGGGCGTCTGACCAATCAGAGCAGAGTAGACCAATCACACAACAGACTGGGCCAACTGACCAATCAGAGCAGAGTAGACCAATCACACAACAGACTGGGCCAACTGACCAATCAGAGCAGAGTAGACCAATCACAACAGACTGGGCCATCTGACCAATCAGAGCAGAGTAGACCAATCACAACAGACTGGGGCGTCTGACCAATCAGAGCAGAAAGGAGGGGTTTAGTGAGACCGAATGTTCAAACAAATTGTTTTTCGACTCTATATAAAATGAGGTGATGTGCAAATGTTACGTATATTATGAGAAAATGTAAGTGTTTTTTTTTTTACTTGGATGTATGCAAATCCTATTGTTGGAGACCTCCAAAACAAAATCAGGAACATTTAAAATAGCATAATAGGGGCACTTTAAGATATATGTTTATATATATATCGCTTTACAACATAATCTAAGGAGTTTTTGTCAAGAAAAAGGAAACAAAGCTACTTTATTTTCTTCCACGCATTACCTTATAGAGCTGTGGAATAATAGGCAGAAGAAGATATTCAGTTCCTGTTCATGGATATCTGTGTTCCTGCTGAGTTCAATCAAACTCACCTGAACCAGATAATTACTGTCTTCAGGTTCACGTGGAAATCACAGGTAGGTGTGTGTGAGCAGGGTCAGAACTGAACGCTAGATCTCAGTGAGCGACATTGAACACACCTGCTCTGTGTGTAATGATAGCTCACAAAGCCTTTCATTTACTGTCCCCATATTGTCCCAAACCCCTTTGCTGTTTTTGTCCATTGAACACTTAAGGAGGATTTTGAAAGAATCTTCATGCGACGGGATCTATCGAGCCCCAAAAAACACCATAAACAAACCATAAATGTATAGTTTGTGAGACTTGTGTGCTCTTCTCCAAATTTTAGAGCCACATGATAGATTTGTTTATAACTTTTTGTGTCCGTTCAATGACATTCATAATTAGTTATCAGCATTCTTCAAACTATCCTCTTTTAGGTTTTGAACAACGTGAGGGTGAGTAGATGATGACAGAATTTTCATTTTTGGATGAACTTAAAGAAAAGATCAGATTGAGGAATTGGTTTGTGGTCAGTTTGTTATGGTTTAAAGCATTTAATGTAATAATGGAAATCGCTGTGTTTGGCCAT